GAAAAGGAATGTTGTGGGACTGTCCTGCTTCAAGGTTGTATATGGTTAGACTTTTGGACCTATGTGTAAACATAAGAATTATATAATTCTTTATGCCTTTTTAAAAAATATATTCTAATTTTTAAATGTTTTTTCATCATATTCTGTAGGGACTTAAAGTTCAACATATCAATACTTGAGGAAAAATACCTGTTCCATGTTATGCCTAAGATGTTTGATATTCAGACAGATAATGAGGTTAAGCTTAACAGTCTAGGTTGTATGGTAATAACAATAAGCTTCTCTTCTGCAGGGTTAACAACCTAAGTCCTAATTCTGCAGACCAAAATTAGAGAAAAAAGAGGGCCAGAAGGAAAGCCAACATTTTGGCCCTAGCCTTCCAAGGTCAATTAAGACTCAGGACATATGAAAACTTGTACTGTAACGTCACGTAACTTGGTAGTGTCCCAAATTTTCTGTTCAAGGAGATTATGGGGCCAAAGAGGAAAGTGATCGATGATGTAGAGTGTGCCTACGGAGAGTCACACGGAGAGAAAACATTCTCCCAGGCTTTCACAGAGAGCACATTGGCCAAGCAATGGCCATGACTCATCCACATGGCTGACACTGACAAAGGTTCTACAATCTGAGGAAAAGGGTCTCAGGATAAATCCTGAGGGGATTTCACTGACCTTATCAGACCCAAAAGCTACCACTCTTGTTGCATAGGTCCTGCTTTACCTTGGTCTTAACCATCCAGCAGAAAAGTATCAAAACGAAGTATAAGAGGTAAAGCCATGCTGTTATGTTGAGCTGTAGGGGACTCAGGTCAACAATTTCTGACATTGGCAGTGAAGCAGCAGACCCAATACTATTATGGACTACTGGACTCTTCTAGAATATTTTGCTGATTTTACACACCGATAATATTCAAATAATGGAACTTAACATAAAAAGGGGATGCAGATGAATGTCCATTGTGTATCTGTGTATTCAAAATGGTTAGGATAGATATATAGTTACATTCTCTTAATGAATAGAGGGATTTGTTCCAATGGTGTTTGTAGATAGGATATCATGTCCGCATCTTGTATAAGCAATTAACCACTGGAAGAATATATGTAATGTGTTAATTATTGAATCTGTCCCACCAATGTGGTTTGAAACTGTCTCATAGCTATTTGTTTCTCAATAAAATTATGGAAAAAAAAAAAAGAGATCATGATATTGACCTGAATTTACTGAGGTAAAAAGTTGTCTCCTATGCTCCCTCAGGTTAAATAGCAGGTAACAACAATGGAATATATGGCACTGCAACATTTTATTTTGAAGAATGCACTAAGGTCAATAGATATCAAGAAAGCATGTAGAATGGGCTTCAATTAACTGTTTCAATTGTCTAGAATGAGACGCTGAGCACATTTTTTTTTTTACTATAAAAATTACTGTTTCTAAGCAAAGGAAATTATCAATTGCTATAGAAGTATAGATCTGTTAAATAGCTTGCTTGTAGTAATCACTTCACTATGTATCTCCATCTCAAAACATCACCTTACATACCTGAGACATACACATTTGATTTTGCCAGTTATAATCAATAAAATGGGGGAAAAGCTTTTTATGTTGTCAGGAAGAAGCATAATTGGAAATATGCACACCATAGTGTTTTTTACCTCTACAGGTAAAGTTGGCATTGAAAATTGAACTTTAATTAGAAATGTATCATTCTTATATTTTAAATTAAAAATACAATTCAGTAGGAAGCTTATGTAACACAGGATTTATAATTAACTAGGCTCAAATTCCAGATCAAATCTTAGATTTTTTTTTTTTTTTTTGTATTTTTAAGGAAGGGTCTACAGGGTGTTCGGGGTCTCCCTACTAGACTGGACTCATAGTGATCTGCCTGTTTACAGCCTCCCAAGAGCTGTATCCAATTAAATCTTAAAAAAAAAAAAAAGCCCATAAAGCACAAAGCACAATAGCAGAGAGAAAGCTCTTGTGCTTCTTCGAAAAAGGGCAATCTCACTTATGGGGCTCCACACTTAAGACCTAATTATGTCTTAAAGCCTCCATTTCTTTAAAACTATCACATCGGATATTAAATCTGACATAAATCTTGGGAGAAGACATTCAGTCTACATCATCAAAGGACAATTTGTTACACAGAGGCACACTTCGCAGCCTATCATCTAACTGACAATACTGAGGAGGGAATGGAACATACTCAGGTATGTTCACAGCCTTAGCTTTCAAAACCAGTGATTCCACCTTATCTATCTTGACATATAGTATACTTGTACAATCTGTCAAGATATAAAATGACCTGTAGAGAACAGCCTTTCCTTCTCGTATGTCTATTCATTTTACTCATCTAGGCATGTCATCAACATGGCTCCTCCATTTCACCATCTTCATTATAAAGCTCCATGGGAGAGATGTGCTTAGGTGTTTGTACAAAGATACAACTAACGCATCTTCTAGATTATGTGTCTTATCTTGAGGAGACTGAGCCATGCAAGTGAATGCTCTTTCTTTCCAAAGAAAATAAAGGCTAAGTTTAATTTGTATTTGGGGGCCTAAGTTTTTTGCAATTCTTTGTATGTTCTAGATAGAAGTCCTTTGTCTGAGGGGCAATTGGTTAAAATTTTTCCCATTCTGTGAGTCTTTTCACTGTTAATGATTTCTTTTGATGTGCAAAATCTTTTTCATTAAATAAGATCCTAGTTGTTGATTTCTGAAGTTTTTTCCATGCAGTTTTGGTTTTGTTCATTAACTTCCTGCCTGCTTCTGTCTTGTCTTCAAGATTTCTACCTACTTTCTCTCCCAGTAATATTTAAATTGATCCAGTTTGACTGTAGTATATGGTGATAGACATGCATCTAGCTTTAGTCTTTGCCATGTGGAAAGTCAGGTTTTCCAGCACTATTTATTAGAGGCTTTATTCCAGTGAACGTTTGGCCCCTTTGTCAAAGATAAGGTGGCTGAATGTGTTTGTAGTTGTGTCTGCATCTTCTAATCTGTCCCACTGATCCTGAGGTCTGTTTTTTTGCCAGTACCATGCTGATTTTATTGAACTTTGTAATATAAATCAAGTCAGGAACTGTGATGTCTCTTGCCTTTCCTTCATTGGCCAGGATTGCCTTTTATATCCTAGGTTCCTTCTGGTTCCAAATGAATTCTAGGAATGCTTGTTTCTAGACTGTGAGGGATACTAATGGTATTTTGATTGGGATTGCACTAAATCTGTATAACACTTTTGGGAGTGTGGCCATTGTCACAATTTTGGTTCTATCCATAAGCAAGGGAAATCTATGGGCATCTGAGATGAAAACACTTCTCAGATGAAGAAATACAAATGGCAAACAAATATATGAAAAAATGTTCAACATCATTGGCAATTCAAGAAGTACAAATAAAAATAGCACTGAGAGTTCATCTCACCCCAGAAAGAATGTCTGTCATAAAAAAAATTAACCAGTAACAAATGCTGGCAGGGCTGTGAGGAAAAACTGTTGGTAAGAAAATAGACTGGTCCAACCACTGTGAAAATCAGTGTGGCAATTCCTCAAAAAGCTAGTAGAAGTCCCATCTGCAGCTATCCCTTCTGGGTATTTTCCCTTAACTAAAAACACCATACCACAGTGATATATGTGCTCCCATGTTTATAGTGGAATAATTTGTCATACCTAAATCTTGGAAACAACCCAAATGCCCATTAACTAAGGAATGGATAAAAAAGATGTGGTATTTTTATACAATGGAGTACTACTCAGATGTAAAGGATGATAAGTTGGAGGCTTTTACAGATGAGTAGATACAACTAGAGATCATACTCTTAAGTGAAATAAATCAGATGTGCATGTACAAACATCATATGGTCTCCCTAGTATAAGAAAATGAAAGAGTAAGTAAGCTCCCAAATGCACAACACATATTATAAAAAGGAAACAACTGGGATGGGGGAAAGAACAGAATGGAAAGGAAAAAAATGTACACAGATCTAAGATAGTTTTACTACTAATTTCTGTTCACTGAAAGGAATGGTCTGTGCTTCTATTTTTGCATGCCTGTGTCTTGTAATCTGATCAACTACTTTGTATAAAACAATATGCAAAATAATAAACATTATTTTCTAGTATCTTGTTCTAAAATTTTGTATCTTTTTTTTTTTCTTAAAAAAAAGCTGAATTTGCTGTCTAATCCCAGTAAGCATTCAAGATACCATGGCATGAATGTTCAGTATATCATTAGGGTTTATTCTGTTCAGTGATTTTCCCTTTTAACTACAATTCCTTTACTTCTTGCTAGTTCTGTTTCAATAAGCAATCGTACTTTAAGAAGAGACCAAATATTAAACTTTGAGATCCAGGTGGAAACAAGAATAAGAAAGGGAGAAGAAAATTAAATCACCGGAAGTTAAACAGGGCTTTTAATATAAAAAATACAAAATGTAAGAAAATTAATGGACATATTAGAAGGAAAATGCGGAGACAATGAGTGGCTTATAATATTTTCTATATCCAATGGAATTCGGTCCTGTCTCTTTACTAAAATCTCTCCCAAAAGTATATAGTACAAATTTCATGAGTTTTTAATGAATTTTCAATGTCATTTTAAAATGTAATGAAGTACAGTAGCGTTATATAGTGCACATAAATGTGAATGCATCCTTCCATGAGAACAAAAAAACCTATTCCAACATGACTATCATCTTAAGAAAATACCAAGAATTCAAAATGCCTATTTCTGTCACTGAAATGAAAATATTTGTGTTAAGTATTGCACACAAACAAAACTAGAACAAGACGTGCAACTCTTACTATGAACTTTATTTTTGTTCCAGAAATTTTATGTTAGTGTTTCTTTAAACCAGACACTACAACAGAAAACAATGAACCTTTGATAAAGTTTTCTTTTTTTTTTTTTTTTTGGCAGAACCAGGGATTGAATTCAGGCCCTTGCGCTTGCCAGGGAAGCGCTTATTCCACTGAGCCATCTCCCCGGCCCCTGATAAAGATTTTAAGAGTTTACTCATATATTCTTCAAATTCTCACATATAAATTATATTTTACGTTGATGACTTAAAAACAAGCACAATAACATAAAAAACAAAGATTCTTCTTCTTCTGTTTAAGGAGAAATGTTTTCATTAAACATCTTTGCTGTCAGTTCTGGGTGAACCAGGATGGCCGCTTCCTGACTCGTTCAATGATCCTCTTTCCCTGATCTTCTGGGGCTGGGGTCTCTCCCATGTATAAGACCACAGTCTCTGTAGAGGGAGCTTTAAAAGGGCCCCCTTCTTGTTTCCCTATCTGTCGTCTGATTTCTGCAGTCTCCTTGCGCACCTTCTCATAGCAAAAGGCACAAAGGACATGCTTCAATTTTAGGTGACCGCATTCAGGACAAACATCGATATTGTTCTTTAAAAAAACAAACAAAAACATGTATTAATAAGAGGCAATATGATGCACAAATAACCCCCAACAGGAGTGATGTTCACAGTTTAGCTTTCTGAGAATTTTCGTGCCCTATGAGGTCATAATGTCATCTAGCTTCAACCTCACTTTTATTTTCTTGTTTGTTTGGAGACAGGGACTATGTAGTTCAGGCTGGCCTGGAAAAATGTAGCCAGGTTGACCTCAAACTCACAGCCATTTGACTTCGGCCTCCTGTATGCTCAGATTACAGGCGGGCACCAGCACGCCCAGCTTTCAATCTCCCTTTAACAAAGAAAATAAGCAACACTGAACCTGAATTAGTAGAAAAATTAGGACTAGAACTCATGTTTACCAACTTTGAATCTGGTACTTAAAAATAGCAGTCATCTTTACTTAAAAAGTTAATCTGTTATCTTAATTCCAAGTATCTAAATAAGGAGTCCATCAACCTAAGGGGTGATCTATACAGAGAGCATCTTAAATAAGATGCCAAGGAAAAGTAAATTCACTTTCAATCTAGAGAAAAATAGGATTATACTAATATTATAAGCTGGAGTCCTCTGCTTTATTACAGTGTGATTCAAATTCCTACTCAATTACAGATTTGGTAGATGGTACAATTTTTCTTTTTATTTATTATCTATTACTCTTCAATGTAAAACCCTCATGATATTACCATTTGAGAATATTTTAATGAGTTGTAATATATATTTATATCCAACTTTATGTAAGAGTTATAAGTTCTAAAAAACTTCAACATATTTTCAAGACAGACTTTAAAAAAAATATAAAGAAGAGTAAATCAGTGGCATAGCGCCTGCTTGGCAAGCACTGAGGTCTTGAGTTCAATTCCCCGTTCAAGGAAACAACAAATCAGGAGCATTGAAGAAGCTTCAAATACTTCATAAAATTAATATATTAGTATGTGTGAGGCTACAGCCTAGAGTAGTGACAGACTAGAATAACAATAAACAAATTTCATTTTCTAAAAGGACAAAGAATCTTGTTAATTACTGGCCTCATCGTACTATTATTCCACTTCAGTGCGGTGGGTTGTATATCCCCCCAAAGATAGGAAAGATAACCAGTCAGTTGGTCTTTTCATGCTCAAAGTACCCAACACAATGCAGTATTACATGTAGCAGTAAATAACTTCACGCACAGGAGAAGAGCAGTCAGAGAACTTAGGTACTTGACTGGAGCAAGACCTCACTTCCAAAATCCTAAATCCTCAAGACCAAATTTTATGGTGTCCTAAGTAAAATGTTTTTCAGTTCCAGATTTAAATTTCTGCTCTACTGTGTCTCAGAAATACTTCTTGGTTTAAGTTCCAAGGGTTGAAATGTAAATGTAGACACTCTGTTCTTAAGTGTCACCCACAGAGCGTCAGTGGTGGAATGTGGCATAGCAGGCAAGAATTGAAATTATAACTGTTACAGCTACAAAATACTACTACACCTATCATCATTTTCGTTTAATTATATCAATGAACAGAATACATCCAGAGGTGAAGTTGGTGAATCTGGAATTGTCTGAACACACAAAGAAAGGCTTCAAGAGAAGAATGCGAGTTCAAAAATCAAAACGCTAGGGGGTCAAATCCTGAGTTTCCCTTTTAAAACTGTGTCTACAGACTAATTCTTTTAGCCTCAATTTCTTCATCCTATAAAACAAAGAAAGTGATATTTACTTTGGAGGACTGGTGTGAGAATATGAGGACACAGTGCACATAAAACACTAAGATACATTACAGGCTGTGCCTGTCCTTCACAATACTGTACTGGACACAGTGAAGGACAAGTGAAATACATAAGGGCTAGTAAAACCTAAGATCCAGCATGCTCTACACTTCTGACTTTAATTTCATTATTACCACAGTTAAATGTTTATCCACTTAGAATTCAAATTTACTTGGCCTATGACTAATAATAGTTCATAAGTTAAAAGTTTGGGGTCTCTTTACAAAATATCTTACTTAATTTCTAAATTTCTTCTTTCATTGTGTTTTTAGTGTTTGGGAGAGAGGACGACAAGATTTACACACTGAGATAACCGTATTTTAGTTGGGGCAGACCATAGACATGTAAGACTTGAGAATAATTTATCTATAGGTTCTATAAGTATACCATGACAATAGTCAATGGTGGACTCGAGGAAAAGCATATTCACAAAAATGAGAATAAATTACCTTAACTTTAATGAGATTCCAAGGGTTTCTTCTTCTACACCGGTTAACTTCAATACTGCGTCTGTTTTTGGGAGCTGCCATCCAAAAGATACCATCTAAGAGGCTGGAATTCTCCTGACTTCCACTGGTATCATTTGCTGGCTCTGTAAAGATCACTGGACCGTGGACCACTAGCGCTGGTGCTATAAAGTAAAACATGGGAGATACAGAATCAATTTCCAGCTCCCAAATGACTATTTGCAAATGTCATTCTTCTGAAACAACCAGGATATGTCACGATACACACACACACACACACACACACACACACAGAGCGCCAGAGCATGTGTGCTTAGCATGGTAAATTCAGTAACTATTTAATAGAAAATACAGCTATTAAAATATACAATACTAAAGACAAGTAAAAAGGCATTTTAAAATAACACAAATAGGATTCTTTCTTAATAGAACTTGCTGAAATGAGATGCTTGACAGGTGCATAACTTAAGAAACAAAATCATTCAATTGTCCACATTTCACTTGGTAGAGTCTGTATCTACTCTGGGTACAAGTAAGTCTAAGATCCTGATTACATACACTGAGACAATTCTGCATAATCTTTAAAAAAAATACACAGTGCTTTAATCACATACCCTGGTAAATTCCTTTAAGTCACTAATTTCTTCATTAGTATTTAACCTTGACTCCTGTTTGTTCTCTAAGAAAAATAACTAGTCCCTTCACTGTAGAGCACTATTTACATAACTATCAATGGATCGCTTTTTTGTCCTTTAAAATGCTTACAAAGGAAAGAAAGTCCTTTATCTTTTGCTGTTCTTCAGACTTGTGATACTTCTTTTGATTTCCACACTTAACAAACAGCTCTTCAGGAGATCTAAAAATATTGCTAAGCATAGCCTGGTGTTTCCTAAGGGAAGCTCTTTGTAAGAGAAGCCTGTGTGATAGTCAATCTTTCCGAGCCTGGATGCCAATGAGAAGCGGAACACTGTACAAACACGACTACTCTGCCCAAAACCGTGCACTGAAAGACTCGCCCAGACTCCAGCGAGCTTTCCAGCAGCCCAAGGTCCTGCCCTCAAAAGGACCTCAGCTCCCCTTTGGGTGCTTAAACGAGAAAGCTCTACACTGCCAGGAAAATATACTTCTTGCTCTCAACAACACACATCAGCACTGCCTCGTGACAGGCTTCCGAACTCCCTTACGGAAATCGCTACAAAAGGGTTACCATTGGACAGACGCTTCCTCTGCAGCTCAGGAGGAGCTCAAGGCCCCGAGGCCACTGCTTCGAAATATAATCAACCATGCACTGCGGGGCGAAGGCCTCCCAGTTTTTGTGGGCGGGGAGAACCAGAACCCTAACTTTGCTATCTGTGAGCCAGTAGAGCTGGACTTACATTGGCGCTGTTCCTCTCCTAACATGTCAAAATGCCTCTGCACAAATTGGAACGAAGTCGGCGCGTTCCCATCTTACCGCGCAATGTTCTTAGCTCTTTAGAAGGCTGTCTTCACCTACGACACAAACTGAGACGCTCAGTGGAAACGTAAAAGTCTCGGGTTTTTTCTTCGAAAATAAAACTGCAAAAATAGGCGAGCGGACGCTAAGCAAAAGGCACTGGGAACTCCTGCCCGCTCGGGGAGCGGGAAGCACAAACAGCCCGGCGTCTTCGCATCAACCTTTCCGCACCTACCCCATGGAGGACTGGAAAGGCCTGGCCAGTTTTGCTGGAATTTCCGCTGCAGCAACTCCAAACAGTGTCGAAGCAGGCCCCGGGACGCAGGCCACCGCGGAGCCACCACCAGCAGCAAGGACGCCACCATGTTTCTCCCCGGAAGACGCAGACCACCTGGCTGCTGGGTCCCACCCCTACTTGGAGCTTGCGCACAGAGCCAGCGCTAGGGCGAATCTGGCTTCTGAAACTACAATTCCCAAAATTCTTTGCGGACGGCTTTGACTCTATCCTCCAATGAGAGAGAGAGGAGGGAGGCGCGGGGATGGGAAGTGAAACTAAACTGACCGTAGTGCGCATGTGTGCGGATGTGCTGGGCCTCTCCGAGTAAAGATGGCGGAACGCGGTTACAGCTTTTCGCTGACAACCTTCAGGTACGGAAGAGACCCCCACGCCCCCAAGGTCCTGGGCTCAGCAGAGGTTGCAAGAGCTCGCTCCGTTCTGCTTTGTGTGCCCTGGCCTCTGGCCTGGTACTTTCTGAGGGTCCAGGAGAGAATAGACGTGGGAATACAGCTTTGCACAGTCATTTGCCGGCCGATGGAGGCCAGGGAGCGCGGGGCCGAGGTATCCGGGCACACTTGGTGTCCGCGTTCATGGGGTGCTTTAGCCAGTCCTGCGCCTTCGCCCGGGAGCCTGGAGAATAAGGCACTTTGGTACCAGTTTTCTCCCGGTGTCCCGTTCAAAACTCTTACATTGCCTTCCTGGCCCAAGTAGGCCTGATGCGGGCGGGCGCTTCTGAAGCTTGGAGTCTTAGTGCGTGGGGGCGCGTGTTTTGTTTTAAGTCTTAGCTTTGTGGTTAAGATTGAAGCGCTGATTTTCCTTGGGCACCCGTTGTTTTTCGAAACACTGCGCTTTTGGTATCTTCGAAGCCCAAGTGAAAATAGAAAGCGCTGATTTGTCTTGGCAGGTTTTTGTGGACCCAAAA